TACTGGAAAAGCTTTCCTACCACTCTCCCTCCTCTCTCCCATCTTCCTCCCTTCCCCCTTCACTCTGTCTTTCTGGTAGTTTCAGGAGCCATATGAACTCATGGGTTCTTTCTTTATTCAGTGCATTAATCGATCACTACACTTATTCATTTTGATGCTCGAGGTGTCTCTGCTTTGGCCCCAGGGAAACTCCTTCAAGCTAGTTCCTTGTCCCTTTAACCCGTTCCTATCATTCTTTGAGCATGTCCTTACTTCCTGATGCAACAAGATATTCCAGGCTTACCTTGTGCTTTTCCTGCCCCGGCTTTGGAATCAGCCATTTTCTTAGGAGCCCTGGTTCCTTTCTAAGGAGAGAGGTATTTAGGAGCCAAGATCTGGGTTTCAGGTGCTGGCCCCATTTTGAAGGTAGAGATCGCAGGATGTACAGACACATTAGATGTAGGGTATAAAGGAAGGAGCGGAGTCTCCATTCCTTTCCGCTTTTGAAGACATTGCTTCTCTGAAGTTTTCCTAGGTGCTTCCCAAGGCTGACTCTAGCCCTTATTTTAGCAGGTCTTCTATTATTTGAATCATTTATACACAAACGTGTTTCTGCATGTAGCCCAGTAATTAAATTTCTGACCCTGGTACTACCTGGGAGATCCTTATCCTTGGCCTTGGGTCCTTAGACCAACCTGGTTTTGAAGCTCATCTCTAGCCCTTGCTGGTTGCCTGAGCCTTGACAAGTCTCTGAACTGTTCTGTTTCTTAGTTTCTCCACCTGCAGAATTAGGGGTGATGATCAGTATCTCACAGGGTTGTTGTGAAGAGTAAATACTATGTAAATGTGAAGTGCTTGGCACTGAGCCTGGCCTGTTCTAGGACAGGTCACTTAATCTCTCTGTACTTGGCCTTCTCACCTGTAAAATGGGCTTGCTGTGAGGAGCAGCTGGGACCATGCACAGAGAACCTTTGGTTCTGTACCTGGAAGAGTGCTGCTACCAGAATTTTCGAAGTAATGCCCTTCTGTGATGTCTTTTTCACATTTTCATGATCTCTCCCTCCACCCCAGGGTCTACAGTCTGTGCAGATAGGTCCCTGTTTCTTGAGCGCTTCAGGCTAGAGCCCGGGCCCAGCCTGGTTCTCTCTTCTCTCCCCGGAACTGGGGCCCCGCATAGAGCCTGGGGAACATCCAACTTTGTCAGCAGCAATTTGGTTGAAATGACATTTTGTCAAAAATGCATCGTGCTTCAGTAATTGTTTTAAAGATTGGGAAACTGGGAATGTCTGTGGAGTCTTACAAATATTTTGGTTGACTTTTTAGAATTAAAAAAAAAAAAAAGAAAGAAAGAAAGAAAGAAATTTTAACCTGGGCTCCTGGGTGGCTCTGTAGGTTAAGCGACAAACTCTTGGTTTCGGCTCAGGTCATGGTCTCACGGTTCGTGAGTTTGAGCCCCCCGTGTCAGGCTCTGCGCTGACCGTGCAGAGTCTGCTTGGGATTCATTCTGTCTCCCTCTCTCCCTGCCCCTCCCTTCTCGTGCTCTGTAAGATAAATAAATCGACTTAAAAAAATTTAACCTCCAATTACTTCTCAGCCAATTGTTTTTACCTTTCTATTTGCCGTAGTAAAATGTTAAAATAACCTAAATGTCTGACAATGGAATGGCTTTTTTCTTCTTTTTTTTTTCCTCTTCTTTCCTTCCTTCCTTCTTCTGTTAAGCGCAGAAGAGTATGTAGAATAAGATGTAATATAATGAAATACATGCATATATGCTTGCGTAAGCACAGATGTAACACACAACTTTGCTCTGAACGTTTATCTGGTGGCAGGGTTTGGAGCTTTTCCTCCTTACACTCTCCTGACTGTCAGGAGAGGCAATCCGCCAGGGCTCTGAGCATCCCCGCACACTCCTGCTCGCATGCCAAGAACACAGGTCCCAGCTGCTCTACATCCGGGCCATTTCTTGGGGCTGTTCTTTGGGCTGAGTGACTGAGGGACACAGTAATGTTGCCCTGAAGAGCAGGCTTGCTTACCACCTGCTCAAACAGGGGGAAAGGTCCCAAGCTCAGAGTTCCTTAGCGGCAGGGCAAGCCCCTGTGTGTCACCCTTGTGGGACGTGGGGGCGAGGGGAACTGATGCAAACATTATCTCCTGCCTGCTCTGCTGTGAGTGATGGATTCCCCTGTCTGGGACCCAGGTGTCTCATGTATCTGTGTCAGGTGAACTCCTTAGCTTGTGTGTGGCGTATAACCCCAGGACTTCACACGGACCTGTTCAATCACTTATCACGTACATATACTTTTACATACACAAAAGTATACATATACTTTTACAACACAAAAATCAGTTTGGGGTCACCTGGGTGGCTTAGTCAGCTGAGCGTCTGACTCTTGATTTTGGGTCAGGTCCCAGGGTCATCGAATTGAGTGCCATGTAGGGCTCCGTGCTGAAAAGTGGAGTCGGCTTGGGATTCTCTCTTTCTCTGCCTGTCTATCCTGCTCATGCATGCTCTCTCTCAAAAAATAAATAAATAAATAAATAAATAAATAAATAAATAAATAAAAACGTGGTTTGATTTTTTAAAATATTTATTTTTGAGAGAGAGAGAGAGAGAGAGCACGAGTGGGAGAGGGGCAGAAGGTGAGAGAGACGCAGAATCTAAAGCAGGCTCCAGGTTCTGAGCTGTCAGTACAAAGCCCGACGCGGGGTTCCAACTCGTGAACTGGGAGATCACGACCTGAGCCGGTAGGATGTTTAACCGACTGAGCCACCCAGGCACCTCTGGTTTTGATTTTTTTTTTTCTTTTAAAGAAAGGCAAAAAGCCAAAATCACACTCATGCAGAAAGTCAAAGCTTACAAATTAGAAGAGAGAAACAGAAATAAACAAATAAATAAATAAATAAAAGAAGTGAAAAAATATGTGTATACACACACAAAAAGAAGGAGGAGTAGGAAAAAGAAAACAATTAGAGGAAATTCAGAAAACAGCAACTATCAAAAGAAGAAAATAAAGGACCCCCTACTCATACCTATCCAAAGAAACTTGGTTAATGCCTCGGTAGATGTTTTTCCAGACTGTTTTCCATATAGCTTCCCACATCTTTATTAGTTTTCCCCCCAAATAAAATCATGACGAATGAGTGCTTCGTAACCACCTTGGTCTAGTTAAGCACCCCACAACTGGGACCCCGCGTGGTGGCCCCCCAAGCCACCAGTCTTGAGATGTCATCCAGAGCCCATCGGGACTGCATGCGGCCTGCAAAGGCTTTCGCGGCCCCCCCAGCCAGAGCCGAGGCTTCTTACCCTGGTAGTTCCGGGGAGCTCTCGGGGCAGGAAAGGGTGCTACCCTGCTCTCGGGGGCAGGAAAGGGTGCTACCCTGGGTTTGGGCCTAACAACTTGGGAACCACAAATGCAAAGGAAGCCACCCTCCCCTCTCATGTCCTCCTCCGCACCCCCTGTTCTAGAGCACGGCTTCGCATCACACCGGCTCTGACCCTTATGCCTCTGCCAGCCTCACCCCTCGCCGTCCCGGCTCCCAGCGAGGTCCCCGTTCCAGACCTCCCCCCGGCACCCGCCACGACCCCACTTGCCTCAGCCAAGACCCCAGAGCCCCTGGCATCATCTCAGACCCCAGCAAGAGCGAGTGATGGAGCTGTCATCACACAGCAGCTGTGGGAGCAGGGCGGGTGGGGCAGGATGCCGGGGTGGGGTGGGTGGAGCCAGGGCCACTTCCTTTCCCCCTGGGGCCCATCTGCCCAGTCCTGCCCCAGCCTCAGGAGGAGTTGGAGTGGTCTGGTCCCAGCCCTGTGCCCTCATCAAGTGAGCTGGTATGGGGCGCGGCCTGGCGGGGCGGGAGACTTCGCGGCCGCGGGAGATGTGCTGTGGCTTGAAAAGGGCCTGGTAGATGACAGGAAAAGATCAGGAGCCACCGGGGCTGAATGGGGTCAGGGAGGGCCAGGGGGCTGGCCATCGCTGGAGCACGAGCAGCCAGGGCTCAGGGAGCCCGCGGATCAGGGCTGACGGCAGAGCGGCCAGCATCTGTGCCCTTGTTCTTTCTGATAATAGTAAAAGCAAGGGTGGAAAAAGCCGTTAAGCCACAAGTTAGGCCTGGCAGTTAGCAGGGAAGTGGGCAGACGGGGAGGAGGGCCCGGTCAGGTTCTCCCCCTCAGCGCTTTGTGTGTTGGTATTTCTCCAGCTTCCCCTCCCTCAGGTCTCCGCTCCTGCTCACGCCTGTGGCCATGGGAATGATGGGAATGATCCTGCTTCTCTTCCTCTTTGGGGGCGTCTGGACCCAAGAGACGAACCCAGAGCTTGTGGACATCGCGACCACTTTGGGGATGTCTGCACCCACAAGACCCTCTGCTTCTTTGACCCCAACTTTCTCTGAGCCCCCAAACCTCAGCGTAGTGACCCCTAGTCCTGCAACAGCCAGAGTCCACGAGGAGAGCAACGGCACCGGGCCCCAGATCTCCCCACCTTCTTCAGCTTCCTATACAGCCAATGAGGTGTTCTTTCTCGGGGCTTCCACTACTGCCGGTGGTGACCTCCATGTACCTGAGCCATCGGTCTCTGGGGAAGTTGCCACCAAGAAGTCATCAAACCTGGAAACTAATGCTCAATCACTAGAAGACTTTCTGGAACTTCACATTATGACTGATGGAACCACGGTAACCGGCTCTCTGGAGACCTCCGCCACGATGGCGACTGGCTCTCCAGAGACCTCTGATGTCACCTGGGGACCCTCCGTCACCATGGCGACTGGCCCTCCGGAGACCTCTGATGTCACCTGGGGACCCTCCGTCACCATGGCGACTGGCCCTCCGGAGACCTCTGATGTCACCTGGGGACCCTCCGCCACCATGGCCACTGGCCCTCCGGAGACCTCTGATGTCGCCAGGGGACCCTCCGCCACCATGGCCACTGGCCCTCCGGAGACCTCTGATGTGCCAGGGTTCCTCCCCACTCATGGCTACTCGCCGGCCTCTCGAGACCTCTGATGTCGCCAGGGGACCCTCCGCCACCATGGCCACTGGCCCTCCGGAGACCTCTGATGTCGCCAGGGGACCCTCTGCCACCATGGCGACTGGCTCTCTGAAGACCTCTGATGTAGCCAGTGTAACCCCTCTCACCATGTCAACTGGCTTTCTGGCGAGCCCTAAGGGGCCCAGTGGCTTCCCCACCCCCTCGGCAAAAACAACCCCCATTTCTACAGGCACAGGCAGTAGGCATCCCTCATTAGTTCCCAAGAAAAATGGCACCCTGCTGGTGGCTGTGGTTGTGGCCCTGGTGGCGTTCACGATCCTTGTAACCCTACTCCTGCTGTGGCGCCAGCGGCAGAAGAGGAGGACAGGGGCCCTGATACTAAGCAGGGGAGGAAAGCGCAACGGGGTAGTAGATGCCTGGGCTGGGCCAGCCCAGGTGTCTGACGAGGAGGCCCTGACAGCAGCAGCAGGCGGGTCTGGGGGCGGGAAGAGCGCCGGGGTCTCCGAGGGAGAAGCGTCTGGCCGGCAGCCCACACTCACCACTTTCTTCGATAGACGCAAGTCGCAACCGGGCTCCTTGGAGCTGGAGGAGCTGAAGGCCAGGCCGCCCCCCGTCCTAAACGGGGAGGAGGAGCCGCTGATGGGCAGCGAGGATGAGGCTGTGGAGGCCCCTGCTTCCCAGGGGCCAGAGGCCGGAGATGTGGAGGCCCCTCAGTGCTTGTGAAAAACAGGAGCGCAGGTCAGAATGGCTCCCGGCCTTCACCACCTTCCCTCCTATCATCGCCTCCAGCTTCCTTGTCACGCAGCACCGTCTGGGTCCTCACCCTGTATGTTCATCCCGAGCCCTCATCCGGCTTCTCAACCCCAGGTCTCCCAGGCGGCACCCACACCCCCGGAACCAACAGACTTTCCTCATCAATCCCAACTGGTCCTCATCACCCTCTTCTCCACGTTTTTGTCCTTGAAATCAGCTGCTGAGTCTCCACAATGCCAAACTTCCTTGGCCAATGCCGTCTCAGAGGACTCCCCAGGGACACGGGAGTCTAGGAAGGAAGATGGGGACAACCCAGCAAACTCTCGCCGAGGATTACTCTGGAAAGTGCTTTTGGCCCCATAGATAAGGACAGACCTACCGGCTCAGCCCACGAACCTGCTTTGACACTGCGCAGTGCTCCGTGCCCGGCCACTGGCCACCAGAGCAGGGACTGGGGGGCGTCACCTAGATGTGCTCTCGGATCCTAGGCTGGTGCCTGGCCCACACTCCCCACCCCCTACCTGTGTATTGAGGCGGCAGCTCCTTCTCCTCCCGGGGGCAGAGGTGAGAAAAGTTTCCTGGCGGGTGTAGTCCTCCAGAAACCCTGGCACCCGCGTGTGTCCTGTCATGGGCGCAGCTTGCGTGCAAGAGGCCAGGCCTTGGCCACGTTTGTGCAGGTGGCGGTGAGTAGGGCCGGCGTGTGGAGGGGACGGGAGCTGCCAATCCGAGGAGCCCCTGAGAACATCTGTGTCCTCATCTTGGTTCAGGTGGGGTGGAGGCGGCAGAAGATTTAGCCATGTCTGTAGCCCAATAAAGAGTGTGGGGCTTGATAGACTGCATGTGTGACCTGAGTGTGGTTCTTCAGCTCAGCCGCTGTTTCCTGTGCCCAGAGCCTCCCCCTACTCCAGCTGGCTTGCTCCCAAGGCAGGGGAGAGGAGGGCTGAGGTGGGGGGGGGGGAGGGTGTTGCTGTTACCTGTTTAATGTGGATTTTAAAATTTTAGTTATTTGAGAGAGAGAGAGAGAGAGAGAGAGTGCAGGAGGCAGTGACGGAGGGAGAGGGGGAGAATCCCAAGCAGGCCCTGCACTAGCCCAGTGCAGGCCTCAAACGCGGGGAGGGTGAGATCGTGAGATCTCGTGACCTGAGCCGAAATCAAGAGTCGAGAACACTCAACTGACTGAGCCAGCCAGGCGGCCCTCGTTTAATGTGTTTGTATCTCCTCTTCCACTGGGGGCGGGCTCCTTCCCTTCTCCGAGAAAAGTCCGTGAGACTGACAGGCCCATAGACATGGGAGCTTCCCCTGCGGTTCTGGGATGGGATGGTTGGGAGCGGGGAGAAGACCCCACCCCAGGCCAGAGCCCAAGGGGCCACAGGGCGCCAGAGATAGTTGGTATTTCCCCAGGACAAAGAGGAAATTTGCAAAGAGGAAGTTGTTGAGTCAGAGGGTGCAGTGGCTGAGAGGCGACAGGTTGACCCACAGAAAGGCCCTTGGGAAGTTGAGTGTGTGACTGCCCGTGGCCTGACCTGGAGGGGAGAGGAACAGCTCAGGGGTGCATCTGTTCCTGTGGTTCGGGGAGGGGAGGGGAGAGAAGGGACAGAAAGTGGCCACGGAAGATGGGGGTAGAAAGTGACCATGGGTCCACTTGGCCACCGTGGCTTGTGCCACCTGTGCTTGGACTGGGGACAGGCTGAGCTGGGACGAATGCAGCCCTCGCCAGTCATGCCGCCATGGCTGGGTGGAAGGTGTTTGTCAGGCTGAAAAGGGGGGAAAGGCCCCCTCAGCAGAGGGGGCAGTAAATTCAAAGTTGCCATAAGGGCCGTGTGACTACTTTCATGGCGCACGTTGGAATGGGTGCAGCAGATACTATAAGACCAAAAGGGGGCCGGGGTGGGATGGGGAGAGAAACAAAAGAGAGAATTATCTATCAAGTGTGGTAATGAAAGGGCCAAACATATCGAGTACGAAAATGTTTGTAAATGGCTTATTACACCATGTGCTCCAAAACTATGCAATAAAACGTCTATAATATAATGTCACCGGGGAACAAAGAGCTAGTTACTAATCTGTAAATACGTATGAATCTAGGTTTGTAATGAAAATGCAAAAACATGGACGTTTGTGGGAAAAAAAAAAAAAGAACTTGAAGGAAATATACCAAATGTTCGTTGTGGTTATCTGTCAGGTGAGAGGTTTACGAATGATTGTTACTTTGTTTCTACTTTTCTGTATTTTCCCAGTTTTATGTAATAAATACCTATCACTTTTACGATTAGAAAAAAATAGTACCAAGAAAGTATTTGCTGGGGGGATGGGGTGTCTGGTTCAAGGACATGAGGTGGGAAGGGCGGGTTGGAGCCCCACTGTGAAGGACTAGGGAGTTTGGATTCAGTTCTGAAAGCAGTGGGGAGGTCGCCAAACCTAAGTCTGTTCTAGACTCTTCCAGGGCCTCTCAGACCCATCATCAAACCCCACTTCTTCCTGTCTTTGCCTCTTGGGTACCAAGTCCCCCTGACTCTGCGTCCATGGTCCCTTAGAGCCTTTCCTTCCCCCAGGCCCCAACACACCTTGCCTGGGTCCTGCCCAGACTTCTCTTTGGGTTTCTTGACCATAACCTCTTCTACCCTCTGCCCATGATGCTCCCAATGACTCTTCTACAAGGGTTCAGATTCCCTCCTAATGAGGTCAAGACAGAGCCTTAGCTTGAAGATAAGACTCCTTCGAGATCTGGCCCTGACTGGTCAGCCCTTGGTGCAAACACTCTATGCCCTCCAGCCACATCACATTCCTTGTAGGTCCCTGAATAGGCCATGTGTTTTTCTTGATGTGTGCTTGAGGGTGTAGTTCAAAATGTTAAAAATATTTATTTTGTCCAGACAGTAACAAGTTAATTACCAGCACATTCCAGTTTCTTAATAACAGGATTCACACACACACACACACACACACACACACACACACACACACACACGTACACATGATGTACTATACTTCATCTTATATTTTCTTTTTTCTTTAAATTTTTAAAGTTTTTTTATTTGGAGAGAGAGTGTGTGCATGAGCATGAGCAGGAGAGCTGCAGAGAGCAAGGGAGAGAGAGAGAATCCCAAGCAGGCTCCATGCTGTCAGAGCCAACAGCCCGCTGTGGGGGCTCGATCCCACGAACCATGAGATCATGACCTGAGCCGAGATCAAGAGTCGGACGCCTAACTGAAAGATTATGGTTATAAATAAAGCTGTGTCATACAAAATGACATTTCCAGGTGGTAAAAGGATTTAGACAAAGTCTTGAGAAATCTATTAATGCAATTCATTTTTGCAGACAGGAGAAAGGGCCCCCATGCATGCTTCTGAGGACATTTCATTTCTGAAAAAGGATATTTACACCTAAATGTCCTCTGCATCCCTATTTCTGACCCTGGACCATGTTCAATTCAGCAGGCGGAACCTGTGATGGGTGGGATACAAGTAGAGGTGACACCTGTCGGTTCTGAGTCCTCTAAGCCCTTGGGCTAAGGGAATGAGAAAGACCCCAGCTCTGAGCCCCAAGCTCAGTGACTGTGCCAGGAAGCAGATTAAGCCTGGATTGTTAGCAAGACCAGAGAGGAATATAACCAGAAGATTCTAAGATTCCCAAAGTATTTGCAGGAGCAGACTCCAGCCAAACGTAGAGAGAAAACTTTCAAACTCTACGAGGGTATCCTACACAATCGGTGGCTGTTGTGCTCTAGGGAGGTTCGGGGTAGAGCCTTTAGACAAAGGAAACCCAGGGTACTTTGAAGACAATCTCCTTGCCGGGGACAATGAGCTGCAAATGGGTGCCTGTGTGCCTCAGTTTCCCAGGGTGCTCAGTCCCTGCCTGGCCAGCTTGTGGCCTCTGGATAGCCTAGCTGGACTATGGGCCAGATCCACCCCAGGAGGGCTGGTCCTGAAGAGAGGCACCTACTCAAGACTGCACGAAGCCAGCCCACCCCCGGCCTGCCCCATGACGCACACATCTTGATTTCGCGCCAAACTCCTCAACCGTCAAGATTCAGCTCAAATGTCACCGCCTGTGTGAAGCCGCCCTTGCCGCTTCCATCCCCAACAGACGTGGTATTTCTTCCACGGCACCTCGTGTGACCGCACGACACCCGGGCTGTAACTGTGTGACGGTGTCCCTCACTCATTAGAGCGTAGCCCCTCCAAGTCCACGCGTCATCTTTGTGATTCCGGGGTCCAGGGCCCCGCACAGCAGCTACCTGATATGTGTTTACTGAATGGAGGGATAAATGAACTCGTGAATGAAAAAATGACGATTTCAAGTACACCTGTGGCAAGCTTGGGTCTGTCTTTTGGGTAAACCGGGCATCCAGGAGGATGGCCTGAAGGGAGATCAGCCCAAGGTGAGAGCGTTATTCTAGTTCAAGTTGGATATAGTGGGGGGTCTGGCCTCAGGGGGGAAAAATAGGTCAAGTGAGAAATACACTTATTCAGAAAATCAGATTTTAGAACTAATGGGGAATTGGGATCTGAACCTAGGACCCAAGCCCGCGATTTTTCCAGGGCACCCATCAAAGAAGCTTTCCAGCTGTCACCAGCGGCCTCACGGCCTGGGGAAGGCTGGGTGTGTGGACGGAACGGGGTGAGGACTTGAGTTAGGCGAGAGCGCTTCCAGTCCAGCAGAAAGTGGAAGGAGAAGGCGTGTACCGCCCCAGGGGTCCTGGCAGAGGGGAGGAGGGAGGGAGCCCCAGAGAATCTGGGATGGGCTGGCTGGACCAGCCCCTTCCTTCTTCCTCCGGCAGTCCCACCCCCTCCGGCCTCCGAGGAGAAGGGGGGCTGAGCAGTGCACGCCGCCCGCCGGTCCTGCAGCTTCAAGCGGTCATGGACCCTGAAGGTAGACGAGGCTCCCAGGCCTGGCTTCCCCGTCCCTGTCTCCCCGTGTCCCCTATCCTGCCTCCCTCCCCATCCCAACACATCTCAGTCTCTTACCCCCTTCAACTGCGCCTGCCCCCCATTCTCCTCCCTCCCCACTACTCTCTGCCCCCAACCTCTCTGAACCCCAAGCTCTTCTTCTGTCTCCCGGAGTCCACTTCTTACCCTCATTTCTCTTTCTATGGTTCCCCAACGAGTTCTGGGGAAGAAAGGGGCAGAAAGGGGCCGGAGCCCCCGGAAAGGAAAGGTCAGGGTGGTCTGGAGGAGGCCGCTTTCGCGAGCAGCTCTGGACTTTGCCCCTACATAGCTGGCGGGGGAGGAGGGGAGCAAAGTCCGGTCCTTTGTGCAGCCGGGTGGGGGAGGGGGCTGGAGCCCAGTGACTCTGCCTGGGGTGGGGGTGCCGTCGCCAAGGAGGCCGTGTGCACAAGGGTACGGGCCAGGCTCTGGAGTCCAAAGGCTCCTGTTTGAATCTGGGCTTCACCAGGAACAGGCTGTGTGACGTTGGGCAGGTCACCTGACTCCTCAGATCCTCATTTCCTTGCATCTGTAAAATGACAATGAGAGCTCCTCCCAGCTCACAAACGACAGACTCCTGGAAGGTATCTGGCCAGTGCCTGGAAGACAGGAGGGCCCTTCCTGAGCTCCCCGCATTTTCTCTTTCCCCACCCTGGGCTGTTTCTCCCCGGCTCTGACCTGCCTCCCCTGGTCTGAGGTATCCGCTGGCCCCACACACCTGGCACCTCTGGGTTGGCTGTGGAGCCAGCTTTTGGGGTCCAAGCCAGCTTTTGGCTTAGAAATGACCTCAGAGTCAGAGCCTGGGTTCAAGTCCTATCCCTGCCACATGCTAACTGTGTGACCTCGGACAGAACCGGGATGCTTCCACTCACTGT